AGAGTAGAATCGCCTGTCCAACCTCGTGGGTTTTCTCCAGTTCCCCTGGGTTCCATTCACTGATAAAGACCCATACGCGCTAGTGCAGTATTGAAATGAAATTTGACGTTAAACCCCATTTCTCTCTCTCTCTCCCTCACTCTCCCTTGCTAGGCGCCTAGCAAGGGGAAATCAGACTGTGAAATCCCGGTCAATACCGTGATCGAACTCGGGGATTTATGGGCTACTGTGGCTCCTTTACCTTTAAATCTTGACACCACAACCATCTAGAACTGAACAGGTCTTCACACAAATACCTTACTTATTCTAGACTGACAGTTAAGAAAAGGAACATGGAACATGGAACTTGGAACTTGGCCAACAAAATAGTTTCGTCTTACTCCACTAGTCGTACTAAAATGTGCCCGTTTTGAAATGTCTACATGACATCTCCGTTTAAAACCCACATAGTATTCCTGAAAATTGAGAAACAGGCTTGATAAATCCCGAAGGACACCGACCTCTGTGCCCCCCCCCCCCCCCCAGTAACCTACAAAAGCAACAACCGCGGAGTTTGCAATAGCTCCCACCCAGTAGGCTTAACCTTCGTCAATCCCGGAAACACTGCATGATTGGAGTTTCCAAGCCCACAGGGGTTTCACCACTATTGGAATTAAATAATATTGTTTATCTTTGTTTATCCTCAGCAGACAATGCTCATCACTGAACTCTCTCCGGGTCCTCCAGTTTCCTCAAACTGCTAAAGACCCCTACGCGCAAGCGAAATATAATTAAACCATATGTTAGTCCCGAAATGACCTAGTTTGTGTCGAGTGGACGTTAAAACCCATTTCTCTCTCTCTCTCTCTCTCTCTCTCATCACTGAACTCGGTCAAGACCGCTTCTACCTCCGAAAGGCGGGGGGCATATAGTGAGGACCTGGTAAAGAAGAGCGCCAAGTCATTCGGATGGTGGTACGAACAAACAAATTCCATTCATTAATGTTCACGTAAAAGAACCCTTGACGCCGCTGTCCGGGCAAAACGCACCCCATGTCATACTGCAGGATATATGCTAGTGTCACAGAAAAATGTTTAATTTCTCTAAGGGTGTCCAGGGTTAATTTTAGCTGCGAGCCTGGTGTCGGAACAAAATGGAAGCTAATATTTATCAGTTTGTGAGCGATACGATGATATAATAACTACAGGATTAACACATCGTTTACGCCGTTTCTATCCGGTAATTGAAGTTTTCTACCCATGTGGTCAGACACAGCGTGTAAAGACGAAAACAAATTTGTTCTTGACGGCCTGAGCACCCTTAATTCACAGCAACAAAAACCACAGGGGAATGACTTCAGATGTTTCCAAGCAAATTACCCGTCTTTAACCCTCTTCAAATATTGACTCGTCTTTACAAGTATTAATCCATTTCGTCACTGATCTCGTGAAATCTATCTCGTCTCGCGAGATTTCTCTTCATCATGCCCGCCATTATTGTATTAAGAATCAAAAACTCAAAGACTCTAATTACTATTTTGATTAAGTTTTAATCACGTGATATGTTAACAACCAATAAACTATTTACACTGAACATACATAATCTTCAGCACTGCACGAGCTTAGGGGTCACGTGATAGTCATCATGGAGAAAAGGAAAAATAAAGAAAAGAGTGGCTATAATTCTCACTATCCGACATTCCTCACATTTGTTTTAAAAACAAAAACGCAGCCATGTATAATACATTATCAATAATAAAAACATTTATCATAAATTTCAAACAAGATTATTTAAAAATTCATTATTAAATAATTCAAGAAACATAACAAAACAAAGATATTGTACAGGGAATGTCTCGAAATATTAAACAATGCTCGAATATGAAACAACAAAACTTGAGTAACTGGTCTAATCACTTTATAGACGGAGATAGCAGTGTTGTGCACGAGTCAGGGTATGCTTACTCTTTCTAAAACACATGATACCACTTACTGCTCATTGCATGAGTTGACATAGTATCTTTACTCCTTCTATAACACCTCATACCTCATAGTATGCTTACCCTATCTACAATACCTGATACCACTTCAAATTTGGGCAGTTCGCATAGTCTGATTACTCTTTCTAGAACACGTGATACCATTTCTCATTTCATCATTTTAGTTGTTCTCAACGTATGCCTTCTTTTTTCTAGAAAATACTACTTTTCATCTCAGTTGTTCAGGATAGGGTATGCTTACTCTTTCTAGAACACGTGATAACACTTATCAATGAATGCGTTCACGCATCATGCTTACTCTTTCTAGAACACCCGATAACACTTTAGTACTATGTTATCAACCACATTTGATATATATGTATTATTATTTTCCTAGTTTGATTGCTTGAGTTATGTACAATGTGTCTATACTGTTGGTCCTACACGTGGTCTTACTATTCAACCTCAATAACGCACAAAATATTGTAAAACGTGACCGACAAGGAAAGATATACTTTACCTACATGCATATTCCACATCCAAAATTTAAATGATTTCAGAAAACAATAACGACAATTATGGAAAATGAAATGACATTATCAAGCATTTTATGAATAGCATCATATAATTTTAATCTGATTAAAACACAGATGCTATTTCGTTTCGTTTTTTTTATAGTCGAAAATTTCGTTTTAGTTGTCTTTACTACACTAGGATCTAGAAGAGTTGTTATCTAACACACGATCTGGTTGATGTTAGGGATTAGCCAATGAAACGGTCTGTTACCGCGAGTTTTTGGCGTGAGGTGTACGAAACTGTGGGTAACCCACTAGAAACACCAACGCTGATTGGTTAACCAAATGTCTGACGTCATAGGGTCAAAAGCCGATCATATGACCCCTGACACGACCTTCCACTACAACCGGCCATATCTTCATGTTGTAGAGGCCATTGAAAGTATAAAAAAACCGAAACGAAATATAGATCTGTATTTTAATCATAATGCATTTAATTTCGTTTGTGTCTTGAAAAGTAAAGGGGCCAAGGTAGCTAGGTAAGTATGGGACTGGCTCACTAATCAGGAGTTCCTGAATTACAGTCTGGTTTCACTTTGTCGGAACGGCGGACATGGCACTGAAAAGCGTCTAGTCATTCGTATGGTATGATAAATCATTAACAGCACGTTAAAGATCCTCTGGTAGTTGGAAATCAACTTAAGAGTAGGCAGGCCATAGCGCCGTTTTCCCAGTAAAATGTCTCTCGTAGCCCATTGTATACCAAATTTCATTTCCTCATTTAAAAAGTACAATTGAAAAATACCGACCTATTCTTCTACAAATAAGCCTGAATCCATAAATCTACGATTCCTAATAGACAATTAACATAAAAGGAAAATAGCAATGGTCAAAATATCTAGTAAGTTAAATGATATTCGATTGGACTCATTGGTTCTGATCAATTATTAAATATGCATTATGTAAGAGCTAAATCTGCCTATTGAGGGTCTTTGCTTTGGCTCGAAAGATTATATAAATTACTATTTAATGATTTCTGCACATAAAAAGGGTATAATCAACGCGCTAGAACATCGGATGGCTGAAATTTAAATGGATTAAAATTCAACGATAAAATGGATAATTGAGGCTTAGTCTCAATTCCCAAGTAACGTTGCTACAATAATAAACGATCTACGATAGATCTTCCAACAGTCATAACTTCACCCAGAATAAAGTAATTTGAATTGAATTTTCAATATATTAACTTTTCATTATCTATTTTTGACCTATTACAGCACAAATGGCGCCTCTTTATCTCTTACATAATGCATCTTTTATAATCTGTATTAGCCAATGAGTGTGTATCTACGACTGTACGATTAATCTAGTCGTCTACTTTGAGTATTTCTGGTTGTAATATTAAACAACGAAACTGCGTCAATGTGCTTACGGTATGGAGCATGCATGGAGAATTACCCGATTCCGATACTTTCACTTTCCTGATGCGCTATCCTTTTCAGGTTCATATTCGACACATTTAATCGGTGTCCAAAACTACTTCATCGTTTCTATATTCAATTGCATCAGCAATTTTGATTTCAACCTGTCATTGATAAATTGATAAATTTGTGACTAAATAAACATCAATCTAACATCTGAGACCTGGGTCCTGTTTCTCGAAATCTTAACAACTAAAGATAAAATCCAAATTTTAGTAGATACTTCAATTTTGATTGGTTAAGCACTGAAATCAATCTAATATTATCCAATCAAATTACTAAAATTTGGATTTTATCTTAGTTAAAATTTCGTTAAACAGACCTCAGTATTGCTAACTTTATAACGAGTTAAGTTTTTTGTGTTATTATCAGTTTCACAGCTTCCGCTCTCTGCCCCAGTTCAAGAAATGAAATTGTACTATGAACTATTCCACTAAAAGTCTAGATGGCCATTTTGAATTAATACATAAAATAACAACATGTACAAATATGGATTAAATATTATACAAAATCACAGTTTAATAGCTTTGCACATCTGTCCCATAGTACTCAATTAGTATCTACGTCGCCACAACTTTCCATTACGTAATATACCCTACACAACTCTAAATTACTTAATAAGTTATACACATAACTCTAAATGACGTATACAAATACTATACGTCACTTCTATTTGCGTACAAAAAAATACACAACTCCAAGACACGTCATAAATTACACACAGCTCTATGTTACGTCATCAGTTATACAACACATTTGATGAAAGTCACGAACACAACACCAAAAATAAATTAAACATTCATAAATATTCATAAATTATCGTTTATGATTAAGGGCTTGTGAGTAATATTTGTAAATCACACCGTTAGACGACTTGATAATGTTTATTTAATAAAGAGTATTTTGGATTTTTCAGTCACTGAAAATTATCTATCACAGGGCGTCCGGAATTCTTCATCAGGAACTAAATACGTCAGACGTTGGTTCCCTTAAATTACTGTCATGGATTTTCGAAGATTGTATATTTTTTTGCTGTAGTTTTTAAATTAAAAACACACGGACTATTTTCTGTCCGGACTATAACTTCTTGATTCCGGTGCCATTTCTGACTTCCTATCCAAACCATTCAACATTCGTTCTATGCTCTTCAGTTCATGGTTGGGGTTCGGATTAGTGTTACCCTGACGATGAGCCGGTAGGGGGCTTTTATGATGACGGGAAGAGACATGTTCCTCGTTGGTAGACGGAGACAGAGCACTGGTACTTCTAATAGAATCCGCTAAACCATAATGTATCCCAGGGACTGTGAGAGGACTAGCCGTAGTGACCATTGTAGTTTTAGTGAGGGGTACAGTGTAGGGATTGAATCTGTGCGGAGCAGAACGTGGCGAGAACATTGGTCCTAGGGGGTGGGAACCGGAGATGTGTGACATGGAGCTTGAGAGGGAGGAGTTCAAGGCCTGATAACTCTGGTTGATTAGATGTGAGTTTGATAAAAGACTATGGGATCCTAACATGGGACCGGTGTTGCTATGGTGAAGGTGTGCGGGAGGTAGATGAGATAATTCTGGAGACGAACCTGATAGAAGAGGAACAGAGAGAGGACCATGAGGGAAAGAGGAACTGCTGAACAAAGCTGGATTTAGATGAAATGAGAGGGCGCCTGTGGAACCTGGAAATACTGTCCCCGGTGGACAAAGATATGGAAACATGGGATGCGTCACGGAAGGTTGTAAAACGGTGACATTTGGAGGTGAGGAGTCCTTACCAAGTAATCTCTCGTGATCTTTCATATCCCTGTATTTAAAGAAACTGCGTTCCCGATCACTTTTTTCGTATTTATCAATACTGTAGTCTCTACGATCTTTATCAACACTCGGCGGCGATAATTCTTCATTCGACGAGTTCATTTCGTATTTATCAGAATTGTCCAATTTTTCAAAACGCTCACGACGCTCAGGGTCTCTGAACTCACGCGTGTTAGCAGGTTCGGGTATTTTTAGTTCTTTATCGTTAATTTCACTTTTTAAGGGTGATTCGTGTTTCTCTTCGGTGTCGTCGTGTTGTTCCACGGTGGATCCACTGTACTTAGGAGGTGCATGAAACACACCGTGTTCCTCTAAGTACGTTTTCTCATCCCCAACGTCAATCTCTGTAAAAATAAAAGGATTAAATTAATGGCGAGCGCACACGAGACAGGGTTTGTTAATGTAGCTAAGTCTCTAAACTCAATATCATCCAAAGTCTTACACGTTGAAAACACGAATTACTTGTCAATTCAAATCAACATTGATGTTGTTATCTTACCGGGAAACGGTAGGCGTATGATATCCAATATTTAAGACAAAATAAACATTTTACCATTGTTACACGAATCGTGTACCATAGTGCGTTTCATCGTCATTTGTAACAAGTGACCAGAAAGAGCGAGGCTAAACATATTCCACAACTGATGTCATATGGCGACAAAATAACTTATCTGGAGTGCATGCGTAATAGACTGGAATAACCAGACGCTAGAAATTTCTATTCGGTTAAGACTCATGCCGTATTTCCCTGGACCTAACTGATATGAAATTAGAGTCAAAACGGAAACAATTGAATGTAAATCAGTTTATATACAATCAGATTACATTATTATTTGCGTTGCGACCCATTTGGGTCAATTTCTAGGTCTCAAATATTAGCGATTGAGCTCCTTTAAACTTTTTGAACACCCGATGCCACTACTTATGTTTGGCATATACGCTGTGCGCATGACCAACAATTTCTTCAAAATTTGAATTTTAAAATTAATATTTACAGCTCAGGTTGTGTCGAGATTCTGCTATAATAGTGTAATTTTCTAAGTTTAAAATTGCTTTACAAAAACAAAATCATTGAATGGGTATAATTATATAATCATAAGTCCGTTAGAACCTCGTTAAATTTTAAAATTTCTTAATTTGAGGCTAAAGGGAAGTTCGTATTAACACAGTTTTAATGTTTTGATATTCAATTACTTATGATCTATTGTGTATTCCTTTCCGTGCAGGGCCGAGGGCCTGACAAGGGACAACGTATGGGACAAACAACCGAGGTCCCGTGTACAAACTGCCCTCATACACACTGTAATGTCCGTCTTCATTAGCCCAATAAGATCAGAACAGTAGGACGTCAAACAGCATTTCTTTGCTGCTTCTTGGACCATCAGGTCCATCATTAAGTCAAGTGGGGTGGTTTGGATCCCCCGTTTGTACGTGACAAGGCGTATGGCCGCCTGACTATCATAGGGAGGCGGGACTTCCGGTTTCCTCCCACTCCTAGTGACCTATACGCACAAACGAATTATTGAAAATAAACTTGTACCCTATGTTAGTCCCGAAATGACCCTACCCTTGTTTGAATGCCAAGGGCTCCTTTACGTGCACATGAATTGTTTGAGCACGTGAACGGTTCATAAAAAGAAAATTCTTATTATACCTTGTGGTGTTGGTGTTGAATGACGGATTGGAACAGGTTTCTCGTCTGGTTCAACAACACAAATCTCCATATTTTCGTTGTCTTCGTCATCACTTCCTGCTGATTCGTCATGTTTAGGGTCACCGGAAGCATATGACGAGTTGTGCTCACTTATTAACCTTCTGGGGAACAAGAAAATATATATCAATTATCTCATACAAATATCATCGTGAGCCAAATGTTGTGTTGTGATTTTGGAACCCAGTCAACGAAAATACCGGATTCTTCAACGGTTTCATGAATATGGCCCCTAGTTTATGAATATGTTGGAATTAAACCATATCGGGTCTTCTATTGTCTAGTCTCGATTACTCCAGCCTAAATTGTCTCCGCTTAGATCACAAGGAATGCTACTCTGGACAAAACAGCATAATTTGTCTATATCGTAATAGGCTTTCTGGATGTTCGCGAATACCACACGAGAAACGTTGTCCCATGTCTCAATCCACGACTACCGTTATCTGAATGCAGATTTGTTTATAACGTAACGTCTCCTGATTTTCTTTCTGTTCGACTTGAAAGAAAATTCATTTCACGATTCTCTGTTACGAGAAAAGAAATCGTGTACAATTGCTCCCAGAGATAACCGACTTCAATAAATTTACATAAAAGAATCTAAATTCGAATACTACTACTCAATTAAACAGACCTAAAAATATTGGTGACTGAATCCTAGATACCGGGCAATAAACAGACCCTACACTTTTGGTTACTGGATCCTACATATTGGTCAATCAATCAGACCCTACACTCTTGGTTACTGGATCCTAGATACCAGTCAACCAAACAGGCCCTACACTATTGCCGCCTGTTGGTTAGTGAATCCGAGAGCTGTAAAGGATGTAACATCAAACTCGAGAACAGTTATGTCAAACTGTTGACCGCTAACAGCCATCAATAATTAACCTTAAACAAACCCCCACCATCAGTACCAAATTTCACCAATTACCCGCTATTCTTTATAACTACATTACCCGCCCTAAATTGATATCGAGGTTAATGTGATCAGTCGCCATATTGTGGTCGAAAATTTGGCGCCAATCATGGAACATTTGGTGCGAGCTTTGTTCAAGTTCCGTTCCCAATAAACGCCAAGTGAACGGAGCAATTAAGATAATTGTTTTAAAGAACTGCGGATCATTTTACTCGTATTCTGATTGAGTGATCACATCTTGTCAGTTAGTTAAGATCTCGCGTTACTTGCCCGCAAAACGAGTAATTCATTAGCTTCGCTTATTATGTATTCTTCCGCTACAAGTCACGAAGGGCCGCGAATCTGAATGGGACTCAATGAGCGGACAAAAGAGTTCGAGTATAACCGGTACTTCAGACCACAATAACGAGGAAATTCTTAAGCGATGGAATAATGATTGAACGGAAATACAAAGAGGCGAGGCTGCGCGGGTAAATTTGTCTTACTTGTTCCTTCATTACCGTGTTAGGTATTACACGTTCGGACCACCTCGTTCTTTGCGACTCTCGTCCCTCGACCACAATGCAAGCACTGATTAAAGTGTTTCCTTTAGTGAAATTAGCGTGAATTCAAAGCTAAATGTCTTAATTAGATGATCGCCTTTCTAGTGAACAGACGGTCAATTCTTAACCGCAACCTGACAATCAACATGGCAACACAAACCCACATTTTATTTCATCTCAAAATCTTCAAAAATGTTTTTGCTACTCGATAATGGATTTTTGTTTGCAGTCGGCCATTTTGTAAAATTTTACGGGATAAGAGCAAACGATTTTAAACAAGAGACAACAAAATACCAGTTAGTAACCATTTCAATATCAACTATTTCAATAGCATTAAGTAATTAAACGAACATTAACTTGATAATAATGATAAGAACATGAGAATTGAAGTCCTGCTAATCAGGGAAAGCGCGTGGGGTTTTTTTGTCAATAAGTGACCGATAAAAAAGGTGTTATAGACATGTATATTCTATACAACATATCCCATTTTTAATAATTTGATTTAAAATTTGACAAAGTTATGAATAAGTGAAATTGATACTTACTTTTTCTCCCTCTTGCCTCCCCCAGTGTCTCTAAAACCTTTAGCAAACGGATTGTGGTTTATCTTTAACTGTGTAATCTAACAAAAAATATAATAATTAAATTATGAATCAGACATTAAACAATTTTATCAGTTAAAGTCAAGATTATGACATATCTAAAAACGTAAACACTATATGTTGCGGTTAGTTAAGTCTTGGTTTATCGGGATTTTCTGGGGTGGTTTCCCCTTGTGTGTGGTGCAGGACGGAGGACCTGGCATGGACAGCTGTCTAGTCGTTTGGATGGTACGAAAACCCGAAGTCCCGTGTATACATTGGTGTGCACGTAAAAGATCTCTTACCAGTTGGAATTCGATATAAGAGTAGGCCGTAGAACCGCTGACCGGGGAAAATTTTCCTCACGGCATAAACCCGTCTTCGTTAGCCCAGTCGGAGCAGAATTGTTGGACGTTAAACCTCATTTCAATTTATATTGATATATTGAAAGTTAAATATCAAGTTTAATAGTATAGTCCTTAATGCCGCTGCCAGGGAAAAATTTCCCTAATAACACTCTGCATGACCTGTGTCCGTCTTCATAAGCCTACTTGGAACAGACAAATCGGACGTGAAACCCAATGTTGTTGTTTTTTTTAGAGATATTATATTTACTATAAACGAATGGGTGATCGATGAACAGGCAAAATGCCTATGTCAGACCCCATTTCATTTCAACAGTTACTTAAAAAGTATTTACCAATAATAAGTTAAATTTAAGAATGTCCTGATGTCAGGTGAATGATTTCCAAGTTCTTAATTTCAACAATTTATAATTGTTAATTATCACGTAACTTTACAAATCTGTTTATTAATACTTTCAATAAAGCGAGTCTTTAACTAAATGTTGCATTTTTGTGGGGCAGTATCTAACATGTCAGAGTTTAGTGCTTGCTTCAGAATATTCAGGTCCGGATTTCACAAAGCATTCTCAGACTTAAATTAAGAATTTACTCAAAATTGTTCACCTTATTTTAACTAAAATATAGCCCTTTATAAAACTTTTGTTGTTTTAATGTATCAAATACATTAATAAGAAACTATGTGCAAAGTTTTGTATTTCTGGATCAAAGATATTTTTCATAAACAGTGTTTGAAAGTTGAGTAAATTCTTAACTTAAGTCTGAGAATGCTTTGTGAACTCGGGGGCAGATTGATTAATTAACATTTAAATAAGAAAACAAGATATCAATATTAGAGAAAGTTCTGGCTAGGCATTCATTCGGATTACAACGAAAATCATGTGTGGTGATTTCCAGTGGACGCCGAATGACTGCAACCTTTCAATCCATCATATTTTTGTTCATACTAAAGGGAATTCTATCATATTTTGATTAATATTCTTTGTATTAGATATTCAACTGGCACGATGTTGTGGTTGCTAAAATGACGTGGAGTGGGATGGCTGAATGGTTAGCGTGCTGTATCATAAAGTCTGTCATTGAGTCGACTGGCGTGGTTTCGAATCCCCGGTTGTACGTGACAAGGAGTCGGGTCTCCTGTCCAACCTCGTGGGTTTTCTCCGGGTCCTCCGGTTTCCTCCCACTGCTAAAGACCCCTACGCGCAAGCGAATTATTGAAATAAAATTAAACCATATGTTAGTCCCGAAATGACCTAGTTTGTGTCGAGTGGACGTTAAACCCCATTTCTCTCTCTCTCTCTGCTAAAATGACGATGTATGTGGGCTCTTATCAATGTGGACATACACAAATGAAACTGAGTTTGTTTTGAGAATAATAAACTGGTTAAAATTTGCCGGAGCCTACTAATGTACGAAACTGTGGGCGACAGGCGAGCAACATAAATGTTCTCTTGCGTTCTAAGTAATATGTAATTAAAAAATGTCAACAAAAGATGAACAGCGTAGATGTTGTTAGTTATAAAATTAGTTACTAAAACAGCTACATTTTAAATTTCCTCTAAATATCAAATATGGCATACAATATGTGAAGCATGCGCATTGGTCAGTAAAATTAAACTTTTTGGAGCGTACATGGAAAAAGAATTACGAGAAAAGATAAAAACGAACAATTTTAATTTCCACTAAAGCAGAGTTTTTAATATGTGTTCCCAAATAAGAGAAATTCAAATTGATGTTGCCTAAAACACACTCAGCACGGTGTATTGTTGTCCTCATTAAGCCAAGTTAGTGCAGAAAAGTAGGAATTAAAACCCCATTTTACTTCATTTCCACTAACTAGTGGAAAACATGTGGGACATGCGCATTATTCAGTAAGACTGAACTTATCAATAGTTCACCTGCAGCGAACAATTAACTTAATGATTATAAGCAATTACCCAAATTCGAAAAAAAAACCCCGAAAAACGAACAAACAGGTAGAAAGATAAAATTATAATTTATTTGTGAAAAGAAATGAAATGAAATCGGGTTTAACATCCTACAGTTTTGCATTTGTGAAAGGAAGATCGTTTACATTTGAATAGAGCCAGCGTTCTGCTCGTATAATTAGCTTTCAATATTTCTAAGACTTGAAAACGTTTGAATAGTGATACAATAAGGGTTAAACTATTAAGAATTTTTAAATACTTCGCTCGGGTCGCTCAGTGTGTTGTTTTCACTTGCACATGAATAGAAATGATCGAGGGATAATGAAAATGTTGTTATTTAAGAAAAGAAAAATTGATATTATATAAAATACCATAATAGGCAGTTAATCATCCAAATCGTTCAAATACAAGAAAATAAACTCTAATATTCAACAAATTGTTATCAAATAACTGGATAAGGGAACTTTTCTTGCAATTGACTTGAAAACAATGGAATATGGTATCCTGAAAGAGAATTTCTTGTAGCGATTATACCGTCCCATCAAACACTAACAAAATGATTGTTAATAATTAATGTCACCAGTTATCCTGTTCTATTTCTCAAGTTTAATTCAATCTTGTAATGATTCTGTACAATAGGAGTGTAGAAATCCCTCAACAGGAAACAAAAATGGTTAAACGAGGTAACATTGTATTTTATCCAATATCATATCGTCTTAAACTTCTTGGGTTGATTGGAAACCACGATTTTTTTTTTTCTCCCTTTTTAAAATCATTCTCCCGGAGAAACTGATGATCTTAATAGCATATCAGAAACATTTCCAATTTAATTTGTGAATTATTCTTCTTTGAAGTTACGCAATTAAATTTTTAATTTATTACTGAGTACCTTCACTAAGTCTATTCATATTTCTCCGCCCATCTTGTGATTTTTGTTAACGAACGAGCCACGAGGCGAGGAAATTTACCGAACTCAGTAACATCGTCGCCTTGCTAATTACATATACAGCCCGCGTGGTTTAAGACTTAAAAGTATTCGAATTTAAGGCCTGCTCAGACTAAGCATTAGATGTGGTTTAACGTCCGCTCGACACAAACTAGGTCATTTCGGGACTAACACGTGGTCCAATTTTATGTCAATAATTTGCTTGCGCGTAGGGATATTTAGCAGTGGGAAGAAACTGTAGGACCCGGAGAAAATCCACGAGGTTGGACGGGCGACCCTATTCCTTGCCACGGACAGTGGCTCGGTGCTTAGGACGTTGGTTCGCTAACCTTGGGGCCGTGGGAATCCAAACCACACTGGTTGACTCAATGGCAGACCTTATGATACAGCACGCGAGTGCTAACCATTCGTCCATCCACCCCACCCCCCGGCATGGTGCGTCTATCATGACCTATATATCGTGGCTGACCAGAAACAAACGTTGGTGTGTACAGTACTCTGGTCATTTTTCGTTAGTTTTTGTTGTAACAATATTTATTCAGTAGACGTTAATACAAAGACATCATTATGGGATATGAAGCAGGCGCTTTCATACATCCATGCCAAATTTTGAGTAATACCTCTAATATGGTTGTGGTGTGTGCAGGGCCTGATTAAGACCAATAGAGGCCCTAAGCATTTAACAGATGTTGGTACCTCCATATAAGCCTATATGTAATTCCAAATATAAAGATAGGAAGGAGAAAAACAACGAAAAGCTCATTATAAAGTCTTAATGTTTATATTACATATTTTAAATCTGTCACCTAACAAAGCAAATGGTGCCACCTCCCACCCAGATGGCCTAAGCAGGTGCTTAATTTGCTTAATGGTTAATCCAGCCCAGGATGTGTGCGATTCGTCTCCGTCTCTTCTTATCCCAATCCAAATTATTAACGCGTCTTTCACTCCTCTATGTACATAAGATTAGTATTTATCCAGATTACTGGAAGGTTTCCTTCCCAAGACTATTTCCAGACCATGATTGGAACAATGGCCCTCTTGTTATTTATGTGTGTGATGGGGTCTGGGAGCAATTCACAAAAGTACAACTTCGAAACAATTTAGTTGCGGCCAGTGAATCTGCGTGAGGTACATCATTTGTCCCACGGGAGGAGGGGCGGGAATGGGGGGGGGGCAGAGTGAGGAAGAGAGAGAGAGTGGGAGTCGGGGTGGGGGGGGGGTATTTGGAGACTCTCAATGGTATATATTTATTTCTAGCAGTTGTAGGAAACCGGAGACCCGGAGTAAACCCACGACAAACATGAGATTGCAACCATGCCACTTGAATCAATGGCATTAACAAATCTTCTAATAAGTATTAGTCCCCCCCCCCTTCCTCTGTTGTATGCGGTAACAGCCCCTACTCTCATGGGGAAAATGAATCGCCTGTCTTAGAATTAACAATAATTAGTTATAGATTTCGTGAGCTCCACGAGATTGGACCACCAGATACCACTTCTCAAGTTTTTACACTTACCTTTTCATTCTGATAAGCTGTAACTGCTATAAACTCCATTTCTTTAAATACGTAAGTTCTAAAAGCACTGTACGGCAACTTCAAAATATCATTGGCGCGAACCAGATGAAAACGAGGCTGGTACTTGTGCATGGAATTCAAAATGGTCTGAAAAAGAGAGAAATGGAAGAGTTTAGTGGGTATTTAATTTATTGAAACTACCACTCATCTGCTCGTCCATAGGGGCCCGTCCATATAGGATCTCCACCACCGTAAATAATACTTGGATTTCCTTTCATTCCTAACTTACTGCGAGTTTATTATATAACTATTACCGACTAATTAAACCCGTTAAATCGTCATTTCAATTTTTCGGACAATATTTAATTATTCACGGTTTTTGTCCACGCTAAAATGTACTCAAATAAATTGATTATTTAATAGTTGAAGGAGGCAAGTCTTTAACTCAATATCATCCACAGTCATCGACATGGCAAATAAGACTTATACGTCAATTTAAATCAACATTGATGTTGTTATTTTACCGAGAAAAGATAGACTTCTGATATCCAATATTTCAGACAAAATGAAAATTTTAATATTGGCACACGAATTGCGTGCCAGATTGCTTTCTAGCGCCATTTGTGATGAAGCGACTCGATGAACGAGTAATCACACGCCAAAGACTAACTTTTATTTTGGACTCGCGTATTTCGCACAACATAACTGATTAGAAATTACAGTAAAAACAGAAAAGGTTGAAGGTAATCAGTTTATATACATTTTTATTTTATGATCAGTAGTGGAATACCGCGTTTTATCAGTGAAATAAAAGTGTTATTCCACTGGCTAGCAGTAGTCCATGTTGTTTTTACCTAAAATGATTGTAAAATCATAACTCAATATCATCCAAAACCTTCGACAATGAAAACACGAATTATTTGTCAATTTTAATCAACATTGGTGTTGTGATCTTACTGGAAAAAGATGGGCTTCTGATATCTAATATTTAAGACAAAATAAACATTTTACGATTGGTACACGAATCGTGTACCATAATGCGTTTCAGCGCAATTTGTAACACGCGACTCGAAGAACGAGGTTAGACGTATTCCACAATTCAAACGATGACCCCATATTCTTATCTGGAGAACATGCGCAATAAATACTATCGGTATAGACTGGAATAACCAGACTTTAGAGATTGCCATTGGATTGAGACTTCTGGGGTATTTCGCCGAACATAACTGCTTTGAAATTAGAGTAAAAACGGAAACGATTGAATGTAAATCAGTTTATTTACATTCATATTACATTATTATATACGTTGCGACCCATTTGTGTCGATTTGTAGGTTCCAAATATTAGCGATTTAGCTCCTTTAAACGCGCCATTTAAAAAACAAGTACGACCGTACTATGTACCAGGAACTGACTATGTTGTTGGATGAAATTCAAATATCTAATTGACCAAACCGATGTAGAATTGCTCAAAGAACAAGCATGCCAATTTTCATGTCAATCGAACTTGAATTTACGGAGCCTTAGGCTTGTTCGAAGAGGGTCATCCCAAGAAGAAGACGATGAGTAGCGGTTAGCGACCATGTTTGACCATGTTAGCTTCAACCATTTAAATCCATGTGTAAGAGCAAGAAACATACTAATCGACCCGAAAAAATGTTTTTATAGTGTAACAATATTCACTGTGGCTCCATCTCAAATCAAATCAACGAGAGAGAATGGGGTTTAACGTCCACTCGACACAAACTGGGTCATTTCGGGACTAACATATGGTTCAATTTAATTTCCATAATTTGCTTGCGCGTAGGGGTCTTTAGCAGTGGGAGGAAACCGGAGGACCCGGAGAAAACCCACGAAGTTGGACAGGCGACCCTAATCCTTGTCACGTACAACCGGGGAATTGAAACCACGCCAGTTGACTCAAGCAAGAAATGATGATATTGAGTTAGAGACTTAGCTACTTTAAGTAGATGAAACCTAAATATCAACGTTAGACAACCCCCCTGTGCATATAAAAAGATGAATCCAAAATTTTCAATTTAATTTTTAATTAAATATTTGTAAATACTAAACAAAACTGGACCATTATTGGATTGATATTCCACCTTTTACAAGATTATGGTAGTTAGTAAAGCATAAGAGGATAAGAATTTCCATATCAGGTTCAGAGAATTTAATTAAATTCACTATTTTAGGTGTAAGTAAGATATACACGTAATTTACATTGACATGCATATGATATAATTATATGGAAAACAAGTTTTGTTTATTACTGGGCGGCATTCTCACTCTCTAAACTGTATCAATCAATGATGAAATATAACCCAACCCAATAATATTCAGTAACTTTAAAGTAGCGAAGTCTCTAACTCAATATCATCCAAAACCTTCGACAATGAAAACGCGAATTATTTGTCAATTTTAATCAACATTGGTGTTGTGATCTTACTGGAAAAAGATGGGCTTCTGATATCTAATATTTAAGACAAAATAAACATTTTACGATTGGTACACGAATCGTGTACCATAATGCGTTTCAGCGCAATTTGTAACACGCGACTCGAAGAACGAGGTTAGACGTATTCCACAATTCAAACGGTGACCCCATATTCTTATCTGGAGAACATGCGCAATAAATACTATGGGTATAGACTGGAATAACCAGACTTTAGAGATTGCCATTGGATTGAGACTTCTGGGGTATTTCGCCGAACATAACTGCTTTGAAATTAGAGTAAAAACGGAAACGATTGAATGTAAATCAGTTTATTTACATTCATATTACATTATTATATACGTTGCGACCCATTTGTGTCGATTTGTAGGTTCCAAATATTAGCGATTTAGCTCCTTTAAACGCGCCATTTAAAAAACAAGTACGACCGTACTATGTACCAGGAACTGACTATGTTGTTGGATGAAATTCAAATATCTAATTGACCAAACCGATGTAGAATTGCTCAAAGAACAAGCATGCCAATTTTCATGTCAATCGAACTTGAATTTACGGAGCCTTAGGCTTGTTCGAAGAGGGTCATCCCAAGAAGAAGACGATGAGTAGCGGTTAGCGACCATGTTTGACCATGTTAGCTTCAACCATTTAAATCCATGTGTAAGAGCAAGAAACATACTAATCGACCCGAAAAAATGTTTTTATAGTGTAACAATATTCACTGTGGCTCCATCTCAAATCAAATCAACGAGAGAGAATGGGGTTTAACGTCCACTCGACACAAACTGGGTCATTTCGGGACTAACATATGGTTCAATTTAATTTCCATAATTTGCTTGCGCGTAGGGGTCTTTAGCAGTGGGAGGAAACCGGAGGACCCGGAGAAAACCCACGAAGTTGGACAGGCGACCCTAATCCTTGTCACGTACAACCGGGGAATTGAAACCACGCCAGTTGACTCAATGACAGACTTTATAATACAGCGCGCCCGTGCAAACCATTCAGCCATCCATCCCCCGGCAAATCAAAGAGTGTACATCCCTGTAAAATTTAAAGCAATGGTACAATATCTGTTTATATCGATCTATCACAGCCAATGAGTGAGGTTAATTCTGTCAGGTTCAGCCAATTATCATTCTTCTAACCTTTAACTGTATTAATTAACTCTCAATTACCCTCAGCTCTATCATTGTTCGCTCCACAGATCTCACGAGATCTTACGATACATGTATTAACAGGTCGCCGCCAATCAAGAGTCACAAACTGACGATCTGACATCTATACGATATAATGTCTCACAGAAAATATATAACAGAGCTTTAATTAGTTGGGTTGCCGACTGGTTAACGCGTGCGCGTTGCATCATTAGCTCTGTCCTTGAGTCAAGTTGCGTGGTTTCGATTCCTTGCTTGTACGTGACAAGGTGTAGGGTCGCCTGTCCAATCTCGTTTTTTTCCTCCGGGTCTTCCGATTTCCTCCCCCAACTAAAGACCCTTACGCGCAAGCGAATTAATGAAATATAATTGAACTATATGTTAGTCCCGAAATGAACCCTCTCCCTCTCTCTCTCTCTCTCTCTCTCTCTCTCAATAGTTGGTGGCTCAGTTGATATGGTGCTGGCTTATTAACAAGGTGCTGGTCGAGATAGTTCTTGTTTTCCCTTGTCAGTGGTATAGGACAAATGACAGGACAGGGGAAGGCATATAGTCCCTTGAATCGGACAAAAACCCCAGGTACTACCAACAGCAGTACATTAAATATTCCCTGGCAGTAGGCAATCGAAATAAGAGTTGACCACTGCGCAACTGTTCATTCACAACACACTGCATTCTGTATGCCCTTCGTCATTAGCCCGGTTGGGGCAAAAACGTAAGACCTTGAACATCATTTTATTTTATTTCAATTAGATAGTTACATGGGAATAGTCTTACTTCGAAGAGTCATTTATGCAGAATTATAAGACTAAAAATAAAGCAATTAAGGCGCGTATCAGATTAAATCATTAATACCGGAAGTTGTCGTGGTTCTATTATAAGCACGTGTTCATGCTGTTACTATATTTAGACTAATTCTGGTAATAATAAACAGTATGGACGATATAAATAAACAACTTATCGCTAACAGACATTATAAGTGCACTATAGATGTTAGTCAAGTGCTTTTGAAAAGGGGTATTATCACTCTCAAGCTGATCTGATCATTGAAATGAGGTTTAACGTCCTATATACTCCTCTGCACCAACCGGGATAATGAAGATGGACATTGTGCGTATCCGTCTATTCGTCGTCGTGTACGCGGGTCCTAAGTTGTTCGCCCCATCTTAACGACTAGACGCCGTTCCCAACTAGCCTAACGGTTCTTCAACACTGACATTGGGAAACAGAGCTTTAAATTTCCGAGTAATTTTCTCGGCCAACACCGGGATTGAACCCAGGCCACCCTGGTTAATGAGCCAGGGTCTTACTCACTGAGCCACTTTATGGTACTTTAAAGCAGGGGCTAAGTGAGATGGACGCAATGACGAGCTTTGCGTTATGGTTTTGAGTTTTTGCGCCCCCTTGAAATTTTGTGCCCCCCCCCCCCGCACACACGTATAAATATTGCTTTTTGGGGGACCCGGGTGGGATCTTGTCCCGTATGCAAATCATGGGTCGCCCCACCACTGCCTTAAAGGGGTATTATCACTCTCAAGTTGA